GGGATGAAGGCTGTCCCTGCATGAGGGCACCCCTCCCATCTCTTTACACTGATTTAGTTTGGTTCTCATTCACAAGCATATCAGTGACATTCCGATGAATCTCTGCCTAGCTTTGAATAGAATATCCTTTATTGTCACGTGTACTCGCGTACAGAAGTCAGGAGTACAATGAAAAGTTTTTACAATGGCTACCTCTATTGGTGCCATCTTAGGTATAAGTAGCTACTTACAAATCTTGGATGCAAAGTGGAATAAAAGGAAAAGTAGTAGCATTACTTAGAGCGTCTAAAAAATAAAATAGAAATAAGATGGTTATAACATAGTTAAAAGATTGACGTTACAGTCCGGTAAAGAGTTTCAAATAGCAGCAGCTCAGTACGTGATCTGATTGCCCAAGCCAGGCCCCAGTCAAACAAATGTCACGCTCTGCTCCAGCCGCTAGTCCACTCCACACCGGCACTCAGCTGCAACAAGGTATGTTGCACTGCACTGGGACTTGCTTCCCCTTGAGCTTCTCCAGGTCTCATCCACTTGTGCCGCACTGGGACTTGCTTCCCCTCACTCTGTACCAGGTCTAGTTTCCCTCACGCTGCACTGGGGCTCGCTTCCCCTTGCGCTGCACCAAGGCTTATACCCTTTATACCGCAACCAGTCTTGTTACTCTCACGCTGATCCAGGCCCCGTACATCCTCGTGCTGCACCAGGGCTTGCTTCCTCTCGCGCTGCTCTAGGGCTTGTTTCCCCTCGTTCTGCACCAGGTCTCGTACCCCTCACTCTGCACCAGGTCTCATTCCCCACTCACTGCTCCAGGTCTCATACCCCTTCTGCTGCACCGGGACTCACTTCCCCTCACACTGCTCCAGGTCTCGTACTTCTCGAGCTGCTCAGGAACTGCTTCCCTACACGCTATTCCGGGACTCGGTTCCCCTCATGCTGCTCAGGGACTGCTAACAACAGAGAAAAAAGAACAGAAAGAAAAAGAACAGGCAGAGCAGAGGAGCTCCAGATGGAGTGTCCTATTCTGTTTCCATCTTGCTGGAGATAAAACCACATAAGAATGTGGTCATTTATTGAGACATTGGCATAACATCAGTTGCAACCGCCTCTAACCTGGAAGAAATAAATTCACTTCCAACTGAGAACACCCGCAATTCTGTTACCCAACTTATAGTAAGACAGGAGAATACAGTTTTCTGTTCCTGTTGACTGTGGGTTCTGTGCTTGCCAAGATCAGACTTGTTTAAGATGCACTGCACCATTCCAATTCTTTAATTGGACCCTTTTATTAATTTGGATGTAGATATTTTTAGTCAACCTATTCAGGCATGTTGTGACACATCTCTGGGGTGGATGGGGCTTGAATCCAAACCTTTGGGTCCTCAGGTAAGGACACAAACACTGCACCACAAGAACTTCTAAACCTGTTGCTATAATAGAACACAAGATACATTTTGCTTGTGAATAGAATTTATTAATAGTCAGTCACACAGCTCATTCACACCCAGCATCAACTGTTTGAGATAACATGGTGTAGAGCTGGATGAACACAGTAGGCCAAGCAGCATCAGAGGAGCAGGAAGGCTGATGTTTCGGGTCTAGACACTTCTTCAGAAAAAGGGTTTTTCTGAAACGTCAGCTTTCCTGCTCCTCTGATGCTGCTTGGCCGGCTGTGTTCATCCAGCTCTACACCTTGTTATTTCAGATTCTCCAGCATCTGCAGTTCCTACTATCTCTCATCAACTGTTCGCCCTTTTATTTTATTTACTCAGTCATTTAATTAAGCAATTAACAACAATCAGCAGCTATATGTTTACTCTAATAAACGTAAGGAGCTGATATCCGATCATGTGGAACTGAGATCTGAGTGTGATGTCCTCTTTTATTCTCTTTCATATATAGTTATAGGAAATAAAGGGTGTTGACATTCGCTGACAAAATTTTAGGTGACCTTCCATCGATAATCCAGGCATCATCTTGCTACAACCAGTAATAAAGAGGATGGTGATTGACCTTTTCTCCCTGAGGCCATTGTGGTATTGTTGAGCATATTCAGCTTTGAGACTTGCTTTAGAGGTTGGACAGCAATGATCTGTGCTTGGTGTGTAGCAATCTGTACTTTATGTCTCACCAGCCCAAAGCTTACATCTCCAAAAGCATCAACTGTCACCTGTATGGTGGTCTCTTTCCAGCTCGTAGTAATACTGATTTCTCATGTAATTCTGATAATGAGACCACACATATCAAAGAGGAATAGTAAGAGTTTGTCATTAATAAGTCTCCTCTGCTCCATCTGGACATTTGCATCCCTCTCTGCTTCAGCAAAGCTATTTTTCAACTGTATTTCCATTGTTGGTATCAAGGAGGAATCCTGAACGATAATCCCTTCAGGTAGGTTTACAAGCTCTAAAGATACTCAGACTATATCAGCTCCTTCAGACTGGTTATATCCATAGAAATCTGCATGGCAGCAGACCACAACTATCACCAGACACCCTTGTCGAGATTTCAAAAATCTGTTGATGTTGGGGGAGGGGTGGGCAGTAGATAATAGATAGAGCCCAGAGAGACAGAGATAGAAAACAACGGTCGGACAGACAAAGGAATGGTAAATGACAGCCTTGGAGAACGAATAGTTGCTAATGGGGATCATTAGTGGCAGACAATGGGTTGTTTGTAGTAGCAGACCATATGATGCGAGGCCTGGTATATGGGTTTTAGGGTGAGGACATGGAAGAAGGTGCCCAGGAGCTAAAATTATTGAACTCAATATTGAGTCCTGAAGGCTACAGGGTCACCAAGTGAGAAATGAAATTCTGTTCCTCCAGCTTGCGCTGAGATTCTCTGGAGCACTGCAGCAAAAGACAGAGGTGTTAACCAGGAAACATGGTCATGTGTTGACATGGCAGGCAACTAGAATCTCAGGGTCATTTTTGTGGACAGAACATACACATTCTGCAGAACCGTCACCCAGTCTGCATTTCTTCTTTGCAGTATGGAGGAGACTACATTGTGAGCAATGAATACAGCAGACAAGATTGAGTGAAGTGCAGGTGAAGTGTTGCTTCACCTGAAAGGTTTGCCTAGGCCTTGGATAGTCAGGAGAGAGGAAGTAAACAGGCAGATGTTACAACTTTTGCAATTACAGGGAATATGTGTCTAGTGGCGCATCCACTGGTGATGTCAGAATGGCAGCTAATGATCCTTTAGATGTCGATGCTGGTGGATGGTAAGTGAGTACCAGGGGGCCCTAACGCTGTTGTGGGAGGGAAGAGAAGAGGAGGCCAGTCGGGCATGGCTGAGAGTGTTGTCAACCACAATGTTGGGGAATCTTCAGTTGAGGAAGGAAGTGGGCATTTCGGAGGTCCCTTGTAGAAGCTGGCATCATTGGAACCAATGCAATGGAGACAGAGGAACTGAGAGAATGGAGTAGAATCTTTACAGGAAGCAGGGTGTGAAGTCAGAGGGGTGGCCGTGGGTACCCGCATGGGCCCCAGTTATGCCTATCTCTTTGTGGAGTATGTGTAACATTTCTTGTTCCAGTCCTATTCCAACTCCAACCCACAACTCTCTCTCCAGTATATCATTAACATCATCAATGCTGCTTCCCCCTTTCATCCAGAATTGGAAAAATTTATTAAATTTGCTTCCAATGTCCACCCAGCCCTCACTTTCCTGGTCTACCTTTGACTCTTCCATTTCCTTCCTTAACATCTCTGTTTCCATTTCTGGGGATAGGCTAACCACAACATCCACTACAAACCCATCAATTCTCACAGTTACCTCAACTATACATCCTCACACCCGGTTTCCTGTAAAGACTCTATTCCATTCTCTCAGTTTCTCCGTCTCATTCTCATTGGTTCCAATGATGCCAGATTCTACAAGGGGACTTCCGCAATGCCCGCTTTCTTCCTCAACCGAAGATTCCCCACCATTGTGGTTGACAACGCCCCTCAGCCATGCCCAAGTGATCTTCTCTTCTCTTCCCTCCCACAACACCAATTGGGACCCCAGTGCTCACTTACCACCTCACCAGCATTGGTATAAAGACTTGATATTGTCGCATTGAACACTTTTTCTCTAAGAATTATTCAAAACTTTTCATTTCATCTCATGCTCACTCGCTTTTGAGTCAAAACCAATCAACTGGGAAAGTGTCATTGGCATAGTTATCATATTTCTCATATCAGCAAGGGATGGTTGTCTGAGATGTATCAACTCACAGGCTAAGAAAGTAAATATTTTGTGCAATTCTGTCCATAAGTTGAGTTTTCGGAAAACTTTGAACTTCTGAAAATGGAACCTGCAGCTCGGGAGGTATTAGATAGGGCCAGTGTTTGATTGTGGCAAAAGACGCTTTGGTTTTGGTTCAAAAGAAAGCCCTTTGTTCCAGGTGTTCAGCGATTAACATTACCTATTTGATAAATTCACTTTTACATGGCTATTTCAGTTATTAATCACTTTATATTTATTTACCATCAAAAGCATTAAATGAGTCACATGTGTTTCAAATACTTACTATACAGTTCTCTTTCCTTATCATTCTCACAGGCTTCTTGAGATGATACTTTTCCAATTATAGTCGTGGTATACAATAATCAAATAGTTGTCTTGTCCCAGAAAAAAATGGATCAAAGAGTCAGTGCACCCTAATTATAGGGTATGGTGAAAGGCCATTTATCATTGTTTGAGCTGAGTCAAATTGTGTGGAGTTAATTATGTCTTTCTTTCATATTCTAAGATTTTAAATTCAATGGCATTTCACTCAGTGCAATGCCATCTGGAGCACGCATGAATGAGGAAGAAATATAGAGCATGCCTCTCAACTGAATCACAACGCACCACATGCTGGGGATCACTTTGAAATCAGTGACTGGGTTGATTGTGAATATGCAGGAGCACAGGGGATTGGAAGTGGGCAGGGGCTACACTGGTGAAAATGACAGTACTTCAGGAAGCTGTCAACACCACCAACCTGCGCTTCCGACTTCAGTGCATTAGTGTGCTCCTCACTGACGCTTCGTGAGGGGCAAGGTTGACAATTTCAACAGGCCAACTGCTCTGTTTGAGCAATCTTGACACATTGTATTTATTTTGACATAAAATCCGCAGTTTCCCGGCCTTCTAGATGCTCACCAGTGAAGTCAAGATGTCTGTACAATTGCAGTGGAGCCGGGTTTTTTACTCATTCACGGGATGTAGATGTCCCTCACTGCACTTGAGAAGGTGATGTTGAGTTGCCTTCTTTTATCATGTAGACCCTCATTGCCAATGAAGACAGAGATCCACTGAAGGAGCGACAATATATTCTGTTATTCTGAACTCTTAATTCTCTATTTTTCTACTTTATTGCTGGATTATGTTTTTTTCTTGTTTCCCCCCTAAGAATTTGTACTTAAGATTTTGTACCTAGGAACCTTAGTACCTGAGATGGCAGCACAAGTGGCAACCTGTAAACTTTACACTGTACTTGTGTGAGTACATGTGACAATGTAGCCAATTCTAATCCTGATTCTTCTAATATTTCTTACATTTGATTCTTAACTGCTTTTTGAAATGAGCTAGCAAGCAATTCAGTTATAACAATTGCTAAGAAGTCTCAAAAATAGAATGAAACTGAATAGACTACTTGGCATCTGTCCATCTTTCCAATTCCTCCTCAGGGGGCTAGTGCCAAAATTGGGACAGATGTCTCAGAGACTAGGCAAACAACAGCTTGACACAAACATTTTCATAGAATAATACCTAACACATCGTGTCCCAGGCAACCTTATCATTGTATCTTGGTATGTTCTATCCGACCAGCACACAGACCCAGCAGAAGTGGCAGAACAGTGGTAAATAATAGGAAAAGGTTGTTTTAGGAGTCTTCAATATTGAATCTGATCACTATGAAGTCTTCCATCATTAGGTCAAAAATGGGCAAAGAAACCTCCTGCTAATTACCATGTATCCCCCAACCCAGGGCATGGATGCTAGATTGCGTCTTTGGCAGGTGGTGAAGTAACCAACAAGAGGGAAAGCCATTCTGGATCTCATCCTGACCAATCTGCCTGCTACAGATACATCTGCCCATGACAGTATCAGAAAGTGTGACCATTACAGTCCTTGTGGAAATGAAGTCCAACTTCACCTTGAGAATGCCCTCCATTATCTTGTGTGGAACTACCACCATGCTAATTTGGATGGACGTCAGCATTTAGGGGGCAGTGATTGGTGGACATGGGTTGTCCTGCTAGAGTGAGGTAACTGACGTCATTGAGACACTGGAAGAGTTTTGGGAGACCAGACAGTGCCCAGTGCTGACGGTGTCCAAAGTGAGCTGCATTCACTGCCATCACATGCCATTCTCCAGATGTGCAATACAACTGAAAAATATTTAGGCAAACATCCAGCATGAACAATATCAGGACAGTAGGACACTGAAGGGGCTAGCACGTGATGCAATTATTTGAGAACTACAGCTACATTTAATTTGCAATTACTTCATTGTCCGTGTATGATACATACAGAGCGAACATGCTGAAATTCAAATGCTAGTCAAATGTGATTGTCACCATTTCATTGATAGTGGCAAATTTAACATTGGCATCTTAATGATGGTGAAGTTTGTAGCAATGACTTAAAAAGAGGTCAATGCTGGCCAAGGATGACGTTACAACTTCAAGGATACTGTAGGAGCCACAGATCACTTCATCATCTGTCATATAAGTGTAATCATGGTCTGTACTGAATGCAGTCGGGAGGTGAATGGTTGATGTGGGTCTGGGATGGGAAGGGAATTGGTGTGCTTCAGGTTCTCCCTTTATGATGTAATGTGTTAGTCACTCAGCCAGTGAAGCACCTTCACCAAGTTGGTGCCCGATGCTGAGGCTGAGGCTGAATGAATGATGGAGACATGGCCCTTGTGTTCGTGCTACAGCCTATCTCACTGTCTGGAGGAGTGTGTGCAGCCTTCACCTGTACAGTTTGCCACCACCTACTGTTCTGAAAGCAAAGAAACTATCTTGTTCCTTATGTTCCCAACCCCAGTCATTTACACTAAGGATCATCTGCCCAACCACTGTTGGTCACTGTGGCTACCTTCCTAAGAAGTTGAAGAGCACTGGGGCAAACAACCAGAACAGGAGCAGCAACAGGCTCCCGTGGAAGATGAGGAACCTCCAGCTCAAGGGAGATCACTGCTGCTGGGATGTGTGGACTCAGCAGGATATTCAGGGCTTTTTTGGTGCTAACTACATTTCCTGGGATGAGTGAGGTGCACGTTCAATATGTCCTGGGACACTGTGGATGGAATAGTGTTGGATGCTGCAGCGGGACCTGAGGGCTGCTGGAATGAGAGGCCATCCTCCCCCATTGACTGTGAAGGTGACAGCACAACCGCTGACAGATGCAAAGCACAGATACAATGCTGCCCATACCCAACCTGGGCCATGAAGGACCAGACTTTGAGGATGTGGTTCTGCTGCTTGGAATGGTCTGAAAGGGTCCTCCAGTTTAGTCTGGACAGAGTGGCTTGTGTCATCCTGGCATGTCGTATTCTGCACAATTGGATCAGGCAACAAAGCGATGTGCTAGCTACTGAGGAACTGGGGGATCAAAAACAATCTACTGGGAGGAGGACAAGGATATTGGGAAGAGAAGGCTGTCTTTGTCTATGACAGAGCTTAGCTGCATTGCGCACTACCTGCCAGACAGGACCTGATTCTAATGGATGGGTACTGGGAGCAGCAGAAATCACGGAATGTTAGATAGTCATTGATCACAATGCCAGCATTTGGTTTGATTCTGGGGAGCAAACGTCAACCTCTGTTGGTTTTGTTTGTGTTCACATTTGCTGTCTGTGAATAAAAGTTCATTTTGGAATTGTCTGATTGTTTGCCTGTATGTGAAGTTCCCCTCCCGAACAATGACAAGATGTTGGTATACAGTAGAGACTGGAGACACAGTAGCAGTTACGTAGAGCTCTACACAGGATGTAGCTATGGACAGGTAACATGTGTGGTGTTGTGGTTCGATAGCTGCCAGGGTGAGAGAATGGGATGTCCAAGCAAATGTCAGCCATGAGCACTATGCTTTGTGGCTGCTGTGCCATTGTGGCGCTGGTGAGGGACAATGCTAGACTGTCAACACTTGTGCAGATTCACAGCAGCCTTTCAAATAAAGCACATAGATAATGAAGCATTTTTGGTAAGAAATGATGAGAAATCTCGCTGCACTTTGCAGCAATAATCATTCCAAAAAACTCAATGCAACTCAACATAAAATTAAATCCAATAACTCTGGTTTGCTCTCCACAGATGCCACCAGGTTGCTGATCTTTTCCTGCACTTCCTGTTTTTGTTTCTAAACCAGATGTGCAGTATTTTGCTTTTATCTTATTAAAGATGTTCAGTTCATCATGGCTCAATGTGATTATTTATGGTGTAAAAATAAATTAGATTAAGGAATGAAAACATAGCATCTGATGAGAATAAAAAAATTCGAAAGGGCAGTGCAAACTATACATATTCTGTGCATATTGTGCATATTCTCTGAGTGAACAAGTCTAATGTAGAGGCAGTGACATCGCTGTTAGATAATCGTGCAGTGTACATATATTCAACTATACATATTCACAGGTTTAATGTTTGCAAATGCTGAGGTGCTTAGCAGCTAGAGTGTGGACTCTTTATGCTGCTATTATCTCAACCTTTAGCGATAGCTATTAAGTGTTATAGGTGTACTCATATAAAATCAATTGTATTAATTTTAAACAATGCAGTAGCAAACAAGGATATCAATACAACTGGATGATTAGCTGAGCTATCCCAGTGGCCAGACAGTCAGTGGGGCAGTGTAGACTGGAGTTGTAACTCAGGATCATGTAAAATGCTCAATGCAGCTAACTTTGTGGGAACTGCCTGGAAAATGTAATTTTCTGATGGGCATTTCACCTGTATCTGGAACCTTTCAAAAAAATTCCATTAAAACCAGATATTTCAGAGAGTTCAGAGTCACTTAGAAGTAATAGTTACACAAGAAAAGTTAGAGTATTAAAAATGAACCCTAACTCCTGGTTAAACTGAACACCCAGCTCACAACATTTATCAGAATGTTAAAGAGCTTCCCCTGCTCTTAGTACCACAGGATCCTTTATACCCATCTGAGAGCACAGAGGGGTGGCACGGTGGCTCAGTTGTTAGCACTGCTACCTCACAGTGCCAGGGACCTGGCTTTCATTCCAGCTTCTGGTGACTGTCTGTGTGGAACTTGCACATTCTCTCTGTGCCTGCATGGATTTCATCTACGTGGTCCAGTTTCCTCCCACAGTCCAAAGATGTGAGGGTTAGGTGGATTGGCTATGCTAAATTGCCCTGCAGTGTCCAGGGAAGTGCAGGCAAGGTGGATTAGCTATGGGAAATACAGTGTGGGTCTGAGTAAAATATTCTTGGAGGGTCTAAGACTCGATGGGCCAAATGGCCTGCTTTCACACAGTAGGGAATTCTATGACAGAAAGTGCCTTTGTTTATCTGAAAGATGGCATTTACAATAGTGGCAGCATTCCCTCCTTACTGCACTAGTATGTCAGAATGGATGTGTACTCAGATCTTTGCAGCAGCACTTGACTTTGCAGCCTTATGACTCAAAGGTGAGGATGTTATCACAGAGCCAAGACTGTCATATTATTTTTGGCATAAATCATAGGTTATTCCAAAACCTGAAAGTGCATCCCTGTAGTTTATATGTCAGTCTTAGCAGTAGGTTTATACATTTAGTAAGAAACTAATGATGGGAGCCGTGTTTTCAATCTTCTGCATTTTGTGATTTGGGAACAGTAAACTCATGAATCAAGCACCACTCATTTGTGAGGTCTTCACTGTGCCTCTTGGTATTATATGCACTTCCTCAGTCACAATAAGCTGTATCAACCAGAACACCCATTGAAATGGGAAATGATGATGATTCATTTACCTGCAAACTGCAGCAGGCAATGGCTTTCCACAATGAAGTGATGGTTTCAAAAATCAATTGGACTGTGCATTATTGAAAAACCTTTATCTCATGCCTGCGAATTTGTTTCAAGAAGTATAGGAGTATTAATGTGCTGGGGCACGTGAGTATGGGAGTGGGCAGTGGTTGGAAAATGTGCTCAAAGCCCATGAAATTGATAGTGCATCGAGTTACTGATTCAAAACTTTCAACTTCCTCTCTTCACTCTAACGTGACAGGCTGCACAAGAAGAACATAGAACATAGAACAGTACAACACCGGAACAGGCCCTTCTGTCTACCATGCTGAACATGATGTCATTATTAGGGGGGAGGCAATGGCCTAGCGGTATTATTGCTGGACTGTTATTTCAGGGACCCAGATAACGCTCTGGGGACCCAGGTTCAAATCCCACCACAGCAGATGGTGGAATTTGAATTCAATAAAATATCTGGAATTAAAAGTCTAATGATGACTATGAATCCATTGTTGATTGTTGGTTCACTCATCTGGTTCACTAATGTCCTTTAGGGAAGCAAGCTGCCATCCTTACCTGCTGTGGCCTACATGTGACTCCAGGCCCACAGCAATGTGGTTGACTCTGAACTGCCCTCTGGGCAACTAGGGATGGGCAATAAATGCTTCCTGGTCAGCAATGCCCTCATCCCATGAATGGATGAAAAAAATTATAAACTAATCCCGTCTACCTGCACATAATCCTCTGCCTGTTCATGTGTCTGTCTAAATGCCTCTTAAATGTTGCTATTGTATCTGCTTCTACTACATCTCCTGGCAGCATGTTCCGGGCATCTACCACCCTCTTTGTAAAAAACTTGCATTTGCACATCTCCTTGAAACTTTCCTCCTCTCATTTTAAAACTATGCCCCCTAGTATTTGACATTTCTATCCTGGGGAAAAGACTCTGACTTTCTCCCCTACTCATGTCTCTCATAATTTTATATACTTCTATCACGTCACCCCTCAGCCTCTGTTGGTGTATGAAAACAATCGAAGCTGGTCCAACCTCTCCTTACAGCATTTACACTCCAATCCAGGCAACATCCTGGTAAACCTCTTTTGCACTCTCTCCAAAGTCGCCATATCGATCCAAAGATGTGGCAATCAGAACTGCACACAGTACTCTAAATGTGGCCGAACTAAAGTTTTATACAAATACAACATGACCTGCCAACTTCTGATCTTTATCCTGCTGTATGCTTTGACAACCTTCCTCACTATCTGTAACCCATCAATTTTTGTGTTGTCTGCGAACTTACTAATCAGACCACTTATATTTTCATCCAAGTTATTTATATACATTTCAAACAACAGAGGTCCCAGCACTGATCCTTGCAGAACACAACTGGTCTCACACCTTTAGTTAGAAAGCCAGTCCTCCATAACTACCCTCTGTCTTCTATGACCAAGCCAATTTTGTATCAAACTTATCAACTCACCATATACCTTAATATTCTGGATCAGCCTACCATGAGGGAATTTGTCAATGCTTGTCAAACATTCTAGACATGTAATGGGCAAGTACCACCTGGGGCACCTTTGTAAGTTTCTCCAAACCCAGTGGCAGGAAGGGTAGTCCAACAGTGCTGTACTCCCCCAACACTGACATGCCCAGGCAGCAAAGCACTAAATATTCAAAATCAGCTCCACTGGGCAATTGCTCAAAAGTCAACTGCTCCACTCTGAAATCAGTCATGGCAGATATGATTGACCCTCTTCACAAACGTCACTCACCCTTCCTCCCAGCCTGCAAACACCAGTCTGGAGGTGTAACATGCTGAGTCTCATTCTCATCTCAATGGCAACTCTTGTCCCCAAACCAATCACTCAATCCTCTTTCCCTTAGTTTCTGTGAACAGAGCTGCCAAATTTACCCCCTTGAGAGACCTAACTGGATAGGCCTGGACAAGAACTGCCCAGACCCCTGACTAGTGGCTGTATATCTCCCCTACACCTGGACTGGCTGGTACGGAGCCACAGGACAGACTCTGGACTTACTGGAGGCTGCCCTTGGTTTAATATGCCAAGACCCCCTGAATGATGGGTGAATTTGGTGTGAATTACTTCCCCTGAGACTAAGACTGCCTGTTTGCTGCATATGCAGTGTGTTTGCTGCATAAGCTGCTAGCACATGGTGCAGCTATGAGATTGACTGGTTGTGTGATTGCGCTAGTTGGTACGACAAGGGAAGGCAAGGCAGGGATGCTGTGAGAATGCAGGTAGGCACTAAGTGAGAGAGCACTCAGCAAGTGAGCAGCCCTGAGATGCAGCTTGGTCCAGACCATGATTTGGGTCCCCATATGTGAACACAAAGTGTCCTTGCTGCAGTCTTTGAATAGTAGATGCTGGTGTATCCTTCAACGCAAGTCTGTGTTTCCAGAACACCCTGCCAGCGTACTAACAAAATGCCATGACAGTCATGAGGGATTGGCAGGTGCTGGTTGACAAATGTCTTTGGGCAAAGGGTGTGTGCCAGTGGATCATACCTTGGGCTGCAGTTTGATTGTCTGCAGGTCATTTTTAAAGCAAGCAGCGACCTGAAGTCGCCAGGTACCTATTCTGATTTCCATATTGAGTTTTCATGACATGTAGCTTGTTGACAGATTTTGTAGGATAGAAAACTGAATATTAATGAAGCAAGTTTGACTGTTTCAACAAAGCTTTTAACAAGTAATAACCCCCCTTAACTGGCTATTTGCCAGTGCCTAGCAAAAACTCAGCCATACCAGTTGTTAAAAGGATAAGATGCTTCCAAAGTCAAGATCAGCCTCACATAACTTCTTGTCTGATACTGTCACAGATTTTGCCATAGCCCATGCCGCTCAAACCCCTATAATCTTCTACCCAACATTCTCATCAAATAAACAAAGTTGGGATCTGAGAAGCACAGAGCTGGATAAGTCAGGAGCTACTTTTAAAACATTTCTTTCACTGCACACAGAAGCCCACCAGTATGCTCCACTACTGACTCCCTCAACAGCCATCCTTGGTTTCTGCTGCAGGTCTTGTTTCCAATGGCTAAGGGAAATATTGAGTTATGTTGCATGGTCAGTATGTCAGTATACCAACAACAGACATGCTTGTGATATCATGGCATGTTACCTGATAGTATAAAGGTCTTTTACTCTATCTTATTTGGGATCACATGCAGTATGGCACTCTACGGGAGGCATGCTCCACTGTTGTGAGCTTAATATTAGTCAAGGCACTTACGTGCCAGAAGAATGTAATGTTCATACATTACAGGTAATTGTGATAAATGTCTGTTGGATTCTTCAATACCACAATATCCACATCTAGTTTCTTATGCTATGTAATGTAAGCATTGAAGAATCAGATAAAACAGTTTGTTGGAGGCAAGCTCACACCAGGGAATAATATCTCACTCCTGTGCCTTGTTGTCCCAGCAGCACATCCGTGGGAGTGTCATGGCAAATGGGTACAGCCTTTGTACATATCATTTCAGTTCCTCACCTTTTTACTTTTTTCTTCTGAACTCCAATGCCTCCAAGTTTCATCTTTGGATTGTTCATTTAAATACTACAATCAAAGTCATTTCATGCTTCTCCTCATCTCACCCACTGCTTCTGTTTGGGTAAGAAAACAATACATAGTTACTTGGCTCGGTTATAACAGCATAGCAAATGCACTGCACTTACATGTGAGTTTTTTACATGATACTGGGCCAGCCACTCCTGGTACATCTCAAACATAAGATCAAGGCCACAGTTTAAGCTGCAGTTGTGAAAACAAGATCTGATTGGCAAACACAAATATTAATAATCCACTAATTTACCCTGATTTTATATGTGTAATCTTTCTTTTCAAAGTGACAATGTCAGTAAAATTATGCACTACAGCCACTGGCATCATAGAAGTGATAAAAAGTGATCATTCTGGAAAGGTGTAGGTGGTAGAGTAATAATAGACCAATTCTTATTATGTGCAAAATTTCCAATGCTTTAACAGTATTCAAAATTTATCATAATCATAAAAAATGAGAGTCCCTTCAGCTATATTCAAATCAGACTCATGAATATAAAATGAATAAACTTGCAATGAGCCCAAATTCAGACAATGCTGGATTCCTGCCATTGGCAACTTTTTTTTTACTTTCTGTTGCTTAAATGATTCATCAATTCTTAGACTGCATGAGGTGAAAGTACTTCTGTGTACAGCATTAAGCCAAAAATAAATCAATTGAAATTCAACTTAGCAAATAAAGGAGGCAGTGATAATTAGTGATGTGGATAATTTTGGCTACTTCCTGTCTGTTTTGTTTTGCACCCTTGTTGATAAATGAGAGCTTAACATTGAGGAATGATTAACACATGAAATAACTCCACAAATGCCAGTTTCCTGTCACCAAGACACCCTTTATTTACACGTGGAGAGTCTTTGACCCTGATCCAGATCCCTCAGAGCCAGCTCTCAGAGTGGACAGGATGTCTGACACTCCAGTTCTCATCTGTCAGCCAGGGCTGCCTGATTGGACGAGGCTAGCAATCCCAATCAGGTAGTTCATGTTCTATGAAGTCAACCTGGCTCATCATATTACAATCACGCCAACACACAAAAACAGAAATTACTTGAGAAACTCATCATGTCTGGCAGCATCTGTGAAGAGAGTTAGTGTTTCGGGCTCAGTGACCCTTCTTCAGAACTGATGGCAGCTAAGAAAAGCTGCCTTTTATGCTAATAACTGGGGTTGGGGGAGAAAGCAGTGAGTGGATAGGTGGAGAGGGAGCCCAGAAGAGAGAGAGAGAAAAAGAAATTCATGCAGACAAAGAGATTGCGATAGTAAACCAGGGAAGAATTATTAAGGAATTAATTAATTACTTATTACAAATTGATTGCCTGCTCAAGATGCTGTATCCTTAGAGTGGAAGCTGAGTTTCAACAAGTAAAGTTTTAATGAGCCACCGTGTATTCTATAAGAACATGACTAATGCACTATCCCAACAGGTTTGGGAAGTAACAGAATATTTAAAACAATCAAAATAATTCCGATCTCCCTCAAAGTTTTCAAAATGGTAGAACCTCTGTCTATCCCTTCCAAAGCCTGTGTTGTCAAGAGGAAAGGGTTGGCTTGAATATTTGGTGATTTTTACTTGTATGATCAAGGAATACAGCTGAGTTTCAAGTGGCATATCAGTGGTGTCCTAGGAAGTGAGATCCAACTCTTGGACCATATCATGGTCTAGACACCTGAAGATAAACAGATACAAGGGTGGACCGGAAGCTGGAGCAGAATGAACAGTAAACAGAAAAGAAAAATGAAGAACTGTGGATGTTGAAGATCTGAAACAGAAACAGCAATTGCTGGAGAAACAATTGCAGGTCTGGCAGCATGTGTGAGAAGACAGCAGAGTTAACATTTCAAGTCTAGTGACTCTTAATGAGGATAAACAGATTTAGGCATTGGGGATCATGAGGAGAACCATTTCCCAACTTTGGAAGTACATACCCATCACTTCTGCCCATTTTTGACACTTCGCATCTTCTGGACATGTGGGCATGTCCACACAGCATCGGAGAGCATGGCTGTCTAGGAGGCTGATTAGAAGGCACTCCATGGTTCACTGGGATATTTTCACAGCTCTCCAGTGTCATTTTAGTGCTCCCTAAACCTCACACCCCTCACCCTCTTACCCTTTCTTCCCTCCCTTACTCAACATAACAATGGGTCTGAACTCCCCCATGACCTAGCCCACTACCACACATACCAGGCCGTATTATCATATAGTCTGACATTACACACTACCCATTGTTGCCACTAACAGTCCCAACTAACAGCTAAGGACAATCAAGTATTAATGCACTTCAGCATTTAGAATAATAACCAGAAAAATGAAACTATTGCCTTATTCCAGCTCTGGGTAGTGCAATAAGCTGCCCTTTGTGGTGCCATGGTAATGTCTCGGCTAAGAGACTGAGTTCAAGCTCTATCTCCTGTGTGTAACAACATTTATGAACAGGTTAATTAGAAAATATTTAAAGCACGTAGCTGCTCCTTTCAGTCACATGACCCATACATCCACACTGTTGCTATTAGGACTTGCCCTTTTCAGGCGGTACATATCTGTTTTCTGACTTGGATGCTTGATCAAGCTAACCTTTAATTTTCTTTATCAGGGAAGAACTTGAAATGACACAGCTGAAGTTGCTAATGTGACCGGGGCCATCTTTTTACGAGATCTGTTTTTCTCATTGTTACGAGGGGTCAAAAATAATGGCAGGTCTGTGTGAATCCTGATGTGACTTTGTAAGCCGCAACAGTATGTGTTCTTTTGTAATGCATCCTGAATTCTTTTTAGGTTTAAAATAGGTCAATTTGTCCACTTAAAGCAGGATAACAAAATATGTGGCAATAGATGTCCAATTTCTAAATCCTTACAACGCTGATAGATAACCTGAGGGCTGGAACTTGAAGTCTTGATATCGACACTATATGTTTGATGAACCTGCAGACCCGGTCAGCAGAACGCATTAGCTTTTCTAAAGTATCGGAGCACCGAGTCAATAAAACTTCTTCTTTACAAGCAGAAGTTGTTTGGCTTTGAAATCTCGTCAAAAATTTCTGTAAGACTCACAATATCATTGTTTGCAAGCAAATGAGATCTAAACAAAAACAGTAGTAGTCCTGTGTTAAAATAAATAATTTCTTAAAAAATGGTTTATCAAAAAATAAAGGCAACTTCAAGAACACCGCATTCTAGTACATTCCTGATGTAGTCTGCGCATCAACTTTCTCAGTAGCTATATTGAAATCTGTAAAACAGAACACTTAGTACAAACTGCTCTGGCAAATCAGCCTACATTAACACTACCCCAAAAGGGCACCTTTATTGGAGAGCTCTCTCCTTAAACATTTCAAATGTAGAAAATCTTATTCCCAGAGGACATAGAAAGGCAATTTGATACATTGGAATATACATTTCCTTTCATTCCATAAATATTTCATTACCTGTGGGACTGCTGATGGAATTCTGCAAAAATATGAAATTTTCCAGGGATGCAAACTTTAAATTATTGTAAAAGTTGACAATGAGAAAGTTTGTGATCTATGAGATAAAAATTTTAACCAGAGTTTCAAACCCTCTTTGTTAAACGAATTTCATGCATTCTCTTACTTGTTATTTCCTTCATAAAATCCCGTTTTTTGGTTGTTGTGATCCAACAAATATCATTCAGTATGGTGACTGATATTAATGAGTTGTAATGAGCGAAAGACTATCACGGTGTTGTTCTCATCAAATAAATCACAGGATTAGACTGCTCAGAGTACGTGTCAATGTTTTTCTGCATCTAAACTAAATGCGCAGTCCTTTGAAAAAGATGGCCTCTATGTATTTCATTGTTCTGGTGTTAATGCAAGTCATAATCCCAAGTGATTGATTAGCACTAGAGCTCCAGCAAGTATGGGCTTGGTAAGCACTGGAATTTGAACTTTGACATTAAGAATATTCTTTTTCTTGACAAGAACTGCCTAGGGTGCGTTCCCATACTTGTGAACAATACCTTTCTCTTTACAAAATACAAGATCATTGTTTACAAAAACTCAGTTCTTATGAGTTCTTCTCCCTACATTGTCTAGTGCTCATGTTGTGGTTACTAAGCCTACATTTGAACTTGACAAACATCAAAAGTTGCCAACTACACTTTGTCATAAAGATACTGGCAGGATATTTTGCACTCATGTGCGTTAAGCATTTTGTTCAAGTCAAGTTGTTACTAGACTTGGAGCAAGCGTTTATTTAAAAAAGAAATTGCAGCAATAACTGTGGTTTGGGAGAGTGTTTTTTTTGGGCTCCCAGAACTGCCTCAGTGCCACAGAACTGTGGTTGTAATACCTTTGCATGAAAAACCTTCAAATGTACCTAGGATATTGAAGGGAGTGTACAGTAAATGCAGTTTTGTCAAAAGGTTTACAAAAGTTCTATGTTCTCAACAGGGAAATAAGGCAGGGGAGTCAAAAGCCTTTAAATTTCACAGTCTTGTGCCCATTTTTCAAGTACAAACTAGGGATTGAAAATGTAAATATGACAGAAAGAATGTGCCTGCTCATTATGAGCTGGAAATGTCTCTCTCACCAAATTGGGGCATGTGCCATGGGTATTCTGAGACATATCAGAGCCTATTTAAAAGAATTGACAGAATATTCAAACATTCAATAAATAAAGGAAGAATTGTATTTACGTGGTGTCTTTCATGACCACTGTATGGTTCAAATGCTTTACAGCCAATGAACTATCTTTGAAGTGTAGTCATTGTTGTAAAATAGGAAATACAGTAACCAATTTGTATACAGCAAGCTCCTATATGCAGCAACATGACAATAACCAACTAATACATTTTGTGAAGTTGATAGAGCAAAAAATGTTGGCCAGGACAGGAAGATGACGATGCCCCTGCTCTCTTTTGAGCTGTTTCATGGAAGCTTTTATATCAAAATCTTCAAGTTATTAACAGGAAAAGACAAAATAGATAAAGATAAACAATTTCCACTGGTTGGAGAACTAGGGTGCACAGTCTATAAAAATTAGGTCCATACTGTTCAGGAGAGATGTTAGGAAGCATTTCTACAAAGAATGTTAGAATTTTGGAATTCCTTCCCACAACCAGCAGTTGATGCGAGATCTGTTGTTTCTTTATAATCTGAGGCAGATAATTTTTTGTTAAGCAAAGGAATTAAGGGATATGGGGCAAAGGCAGGTCTATGTAGTTAGGTCACACATCAACCATGGTTTCAATGAATGGTGTAACAATTTGGAGAGCCTGAATGTCCTACAAATATGTGAACTATGCTGGCTGAGTGCGTGATTTTGTGATTTCCCAAACCCTGCCTACATTCATGAAAAGTACATGGTGGCGAATCAGAGCTCACAGTCCCTTTGCATCCTTTCCATTCATTGACATTTAAAAATAAGGTCCTCCATTGGGAGCATTGAAGCTGGAAGAATTTCTCCAGCTTGAAACATCTAGTTCGCAGCTTTTCATAGTAAACAGCCTCCTCCTCTGTGTGTGTTTTCCTAAGTCCTTGTGACACACTGCAGTGGCCCAAACTATTTTGATATCAAGGCCACCACTGCTTAGACTTCATAGATCTACTTTGTTATGTGAACAAAACAGAAGGAAATTCATTTGAACTCTTCAAACTATTACGTAATGTATAGTTTCAGCAGGTATTGTCACCCAATAACCATTAGTGCCAGGTGAGTAACATAAAAAGATGAGGTCACAGAATTGTTACAGGACAAAAGAAGATCTTTTGGCTCCATCGTGTCTGTACCGATTTGCCAAATGAGCAATTCATGTAATGCCATTCTTCTGTCATCTGTTCGTAAACCTGAAGGTTTTTCCTTTTCCAATTGCAGTCTAATTCCATTTAATTCCATATTGTGTGTCATTCCAGAGTTTAACCACTCGCTGAGTAAAAAAGATTTTTCTTCTATCATGTTTGCTTCTTTTCCCAATTAGTAATGGGAATAGTTTCTCCCCAAATGTTTTATAATTTTGAATACCTCTGCCAGATCTTCTCTCAACTATCTCAAAGGAAAACATTCTTTACTTCTTGAATCTATCCTCCTATCCCCCATTCCAGCTTCAGTGACTGAAGTTCCTGATCTCTCAAAGCATTCTCGTGGATTCTTTCTGCACGGTCTCCAATGACATCACATCCTTCCTCAAGTGCAATACCCAGAACTGGATGCATTATCCAGCTGAAGATGAACTGGTGTCATAAACAAATTCACCATAACTTCCTTTGCACTTGTACTCTATGACCCTAAAAATAAAGCCTAGAATACAATCTGCTTTATTCACCCTCTCCTAACCTGTCCTGCCAACTTTAATCAATTATGCACATATACACGCAGGTCTCTCTGCATACATTTTGGAGTTGAACCCTTTATTTTATATTGTCTCTCCATGTTGTTCCTACCAAAATGAATCATCTCACACTTACAAATATTGTGTTAGTGGCTCCACTGTATCCGTGGTGTGCATTTCACAATGAAATATCACTTCTATTGATTATATAATTCAGATGCTTTAAATTAACAAGCTGCATTCAGACATTGTCCCATGTCAAGGGAGTACTCTTCATGATTGGTCAGGCCATCTAACAAATCACCAATTTTTAAAGAGCTGCTGCTCACAATTAAAAGTGGGCCTATAATGAAAATATGGAACCCAGTGTTGAAATGAGAAGATAATGAAGGCAAAAGAATACATCTGTGCCATTATAAGAGCTAGTCTTTGAGAGCCAAGACAGGAAAGAGAGTGAATTTAGTGTTATGGACTGGGGATAAATGGTATGGACGGTCACCCCTTGACTAAATGAAAATAAACATACTTTAACAAGTGTTTTAATCTCTGAGAGCGCTATAATTGTGAATAACAGACAAAAGCCAGGTTTAGAAGAAGAAAGATACATGTTTATTACTCAACATCTGAATGTCTTCACACCCAGACCCAGTCACATGCTGATATTGAGAAACACACACACAAAAATAAGTTTATAAAATTGTAATTACATAAACATAGCCTGTTCTTAAGAGAAGGAGAGTCGGGAGCTTTGGGAAGATTAATTCACTATGATTTATTACATGCAGTCAAGTGTTTAACTTCTTCCATTTAGTGAAAGTGTAGTCAAACTCTTGTAGTGAAACTTTGGTTCAGTTATTCAAATTGAGAGGTAAACACCAACCTGAACTTTCTACTAAGTAAAAGAAAAATACAATGAATGCTGGAAATATGAAAAAATCCTCAGTTCTGAGACAAATTGGGCATGAAACGTTAAGTCTGCTGCCCTCACCGCAGATGCTGCCAGACCTGCTGAGTTTCTCCAGCATTTTCTGTTTTCATTTCAACTCTCTAGCACCTGTTGCATTATGCTTTCATATATTGCTGGTGGGATTACATGTATGATGTGTCTGCTCCATTTGTGTGCTCAAATGTCATTAAAGGTCCACTGAAGTTTCACTCTGGAAAGCCTTATTATACAAGCAGTTAACTATAACTGAGTACAGCATTGGATTTAAAATGGTTGACCCATCTCCTTTAGTGCCTTATTTTAATTTTACCTATTGGGCACTATTTCATCAGCATTCAAGCCTGGACATCGTAATCTTTCTGTCATGCACCCTGTGAGTATGAGGTTAATGCAGTGTGACTGGGGATACAAATAGTTGTCCTTCAACAGTGAAAATTGATAGACTCAATTAAAATGAATGGAGATGAAGCTGGCCTGATTTCCTTTTTAGTTATACATTTGGGAGAATAGTTTTACTGAAACTGTTTTCCACTATCTTCCATTCATTCATTCATTCAAATATTGATAGGCAGCAACTTGCTTGAACCTAATATATTTGCATAAGGCCAAATGGTTTGAAAATTAGTAAGATTTTCAAATCTTCCACTATCAACTGCCTGCTATAGTCCGCCCACAGTTTCTAGTATTGTTACATTGGCTGCCATGTTTTATTGCCTTGCATTTGTCATCATTGGCCCAGATCTAAAGAGGAAGCTCACTTTTCATATCATTAAAGCAGATTAGCTCTCAATTTCGTAGGAGCTTGCTGTGTGTAGATTGGTGCCATATTTCCTACATTACAACAGTAACTATGAGACAGAATTTTTCCAGCATCTGAACGACATTGGTGATGGTGAGAAAGAATATGGCAAGAATGAATATGGCAAGAATGAAAAAAATAAGATTCTTGAAGTTAAGAAACAAAAGTCTGGTGTTTCCCTTTAAGCTTTCAACAAGATGAGAATTTCATGATAATTGGTGAAGGTCATTTTTGCATACATTAACATCTCATTATGACCCAATCTCACTCTGTCAGAAACTGTATAGTGCTAGTACTCAATCTAGAAATATAGAAATATCGAACTATCTTCTCCTGCATTCCCCATCACCCCCTTTATTTATAGTGTTGGCATCAGCAAAGCACCAGCCTCACCATATCATCATGGCACTTTTCAGACTAACGTATAATACAGTTCACCACAGCAATACTGTAACTTGGAGCTCACAGATACCTTATATTACAATGCTGCTTTGGAACAGGGGGTATCTCGGGCTGTTAGCTTGCTTCCTTGGCACTCACTCCATTTGCCATTAAGGGAGTCAGACAACAGGTTTATTTGAAATCATAAGCTTTCGGAGCATGCCCCTTCATCAGGTAAAGTGAGAAAGAAGCATACAGACACAGAATTTATAGGCAGAGAGATCAATGGGCAGAGAGAGCACATTTGCCATTAGTTTGAAACTCACAGCATCTTTGTCCTGCC